TTTTTTTTTCCAGGAATCAACTTTTGATCGGCAATCATAAGTCTCAATCTTATTCTGAATTTTTCTCTGCTTTTTTGTAAGATTGATTTTTTGTCTTTTTGGATATACAGTTTTTTATGCTTATTCTGTGTACGCGGTTAATTAGGGGCATAGTAAGGGATTTGTAAAGTAAAAGGTTTCAATAATAACGATAAGCCGCCTATATCGGCTTGCATATGTATCAGTGGCATTTTTATGAGCACATTGGGCAGCTGTTATTGGACAACAATCGATTGTTCAGCGAAAAAAAAAAAAATTTCTTGCTTTTCACATTCGACCATTTTGATTTGTATTAAGCTTTTTTTTTGTGCCTCCTACAATTGATTCTTTTAAGCTGTGTTTTTCTTCCAACATTACTCACTTTTTACTGTCCGCAAATAGATACAATTATTGCGCATAATGTGTTGGAAAATTTTGAAAAAATTATAAGGAAAAGCTCTGAACATTTTTTTAGTGTCAAACGATGTTAATAGTTGCTTCCTGAAAAACTGTTGTTGACAGATACGATGTTGACAACAGTGGCTTGTCTCTGTTGTCTCGCTAAACAAAGCATTTGAAGCTGTTAAAGTTAAAACATCCATTAGTTTAATGCACATTGGTTGTAAAACTATAAAATATTTTGCATTAGAATTTACGGAAAATTTATTTGTTTTTTTTTTCTTCTTTTAGTTGTACTGTACATATAGAATTTGTTGCTTTAATTTACGTTCATTGATCTAGTGAACATCCAGTTTTTGAAATGTGAGTCTTTTCTTTATTCTGGTTTTCTTCTTCTTTTTTTTTGTTTGCCAAAGTAAACTTTAACCACTTAGTAGAATTATGTGCAATATAAGTATTCTATTGTACGTTTCAGTACTGTCAATCTTTTTATCTCTTTAAATTTAATAATTTTGAATATTTATTATTCACAACAACATATCTTTTCTTCGACAAATAGATCCTTATTTTCCCTGCATTTCACAATCTTTTTGCCTTCTTAGTTTTCGGAATTGTTTCAAGAAAAAAAAAGCAGTCTCAACAGTTTAGAAATACTTTTTTATCATTAATATTTCCAAAACTCTTGGCACTGTTTGTAATTGTTGTAACGTTTATATGCTTTTTTTTTTGCTTCTGATGAGCTAATCACAGCAAAATTAAGAAATTAATAAATTTTTAGTGGCTTTCAAAATTTTGTTTATCGTGATCGAGTTTTTTACACCTAAACCATTGACAACTATTTGCAATAGAAAATATACCTTTTTTTTTCTTTTTGGTTGTTATTGTTGCTATTGTTGTTGTTGCTGCTGCTGTTTAAGCTGACAACTATATATTTGCTATAAGTTTTAAAGTTGATATATTATTTGTTAAAAACTGGAAGTTGTATTTTATAAGCAACGCTGAAAGCAGACATAAACCAAAATTTTCTTTTCTTTTTCTTTTTTTTTTTTAGTTTGAATATTACTGTGTAAGATGTCTATGAATTATTAACGGCAGCCTATGATACAGTTTAGCAGAAATATTGCAAGGCATTACGTGTCAGCGGTGTATTCTGTAACTTTGAATAACAGTAGGAAAAATCCATATGCTGAAGAATAAAGATGGAAAGTAGACCGGTAGGAATTTTAGTGGTTGCAAAAGAAAAGCGACTTTTTTTTGGTTTTTTAAAGAATCTTTTACAACTCAGTCTTAAGCTTTACTTTGTATAATATTCATTTATGGTTTGACGTAAATATACTCAATACTTTTTACTGTTATAGCAAGAAGATCAGGGAAACAGTAATCCAACACCGAAACTTGACCTGGAACACGAGGGTGCAAAAGTGTTAAAAGATGAAAACGGTTTTATATATTACAAGTGCAGATTCTGTGGCCTCACCTACAACTACATCAATACCTTACGAGCACATGAGCGAGTACATGATGTGGAACGAGTATGGTTTCATATTTCAATGTTTCCCTTTATTACTGCTATATTTAACCCTTCAATCATAAGACTTTTATACAATAATTAGAGTCAATGTTTTGCCTAAGATACTTTTGGTTTTGTTAAATAGACAAGAAAAAATCAGTAAATTTGAAGTAATTTTTACAGTTTATCAACTTTTCTTCTGTCTCTGGAATATCAGTTTCAAAACAAATACTTCCAACTTGTGGTCACTGCTTCGAAAAAAAGTATTTTTAGCCATACAAATGTACCAAGTGTTCCGAAGCCTTCCACTTTATGTGCCAGCTTGAATATCACGCAAAACAACATACAGGTGAACTACTGTTGTTTACTTTTGGATTTAAATAATTCTCAATAAGAAAAGAATTTTGTTGAAGGTGTTACTAATTCTTGAAAACAGTTATTTCAGCATATACTGTCGCTTATAAGATGCCAATTTTAATCAAGTGTCAACAAATACATAAAGAGGCCTTCTTCCTTCTTCGTGATCATTTTTAAGAGGGTGACTCAAAACGGTGATGTATTACTTTGAGGTTTAGTAATATGAAATTTGTAGATATGAAAGGTTACAAATGCGAATGTGGCAGAACTTTTCACACGTATACGGACCTTTTATATCATGAACACCCAGGAGAAGATGATGTCGTTGTGGTTGAACCAGAGCATGTTGTTTACAAAAATACAGCAACTCGAATTCCGGAGACGGAGTTTCCAGCTGCCGAATTTCTTATTAAAGGGTATGAACCGAAGCATCCATTAAAGGTGTATTCAGATGTTCGATCAAAACCGTATATATGCCAGTACTGTTCAAAAAGTTACGCTGATAGCAGGTAATATATGACATCAACTAGTATTGAGTAATGTGTCCAGTGCTTTACACTTGTCGATTTTTTACTATACGCATTTTAGTTTTCTTGAAAAAGCAAATGATTTGTTTTCAGAGGTCTTACACAACATATGTATAGTCATCGAGGCGAAAAAATATTCAATCCTCGAGCATCTCGATATCTGATGGGACGTTGATATTCTTAATGGTTTTTTTAACGAAGGGGATGAAGAATCAACGTACGGCAGGGAAAAATGTTGATGCATAATTTTTTGTTGACTTAGGATATGATTTTTGTCGTTAAAATATGACCAAAAGATGTAAAGAGCTAAAAATTTTTTGCGTCAGAAGATTTCTGAATAGAAATTTAGAATTTTTTTAGTGATATTAAGCGAGAAAGAACAATGAATGATACATTTCTTTTCCAAGCTTTTAAAAAGGTTTTTTTTAAATATTTATAGCTGTGAAAATGAACAACGAAGTTTTTAATACTTATACTTGTTCTCATCGTTCGGTGCTTTATTAAACGGTCTGAATATGATCTGAAAAAAGAAGAAAAATGAAAAATAAACGTTCTATTGAAAATAAACGTCTCTCTTCAGCAAAAGTTGTCACTGAAGTCTGTAGGAAGAGATGGAAAAGCGACCTTCACATTTATTACAATATTGTATATCAAGTATATTGTATATCAAGTTCAGTAAAAAACACTTATCTACTCAGATCCTCTTGTTAATTTTGTTTACACAGCTTTTTTGGTCACTGCAATTCAACAGGTTTATTATGACCACCTCGGTAATCAAAATAATTTTTTGGTCTACTTTTGTTTGATACATTCGACAGCACTAAGTTTGAGTTTAGTTCATTTGTTCACAAAAAACCTGAAGTTGGTGTTTTGTTATTGGCACAAGTGGTCTCTCGGCTACTTAAAAAGTTCGATAAAATAACGGTTTTTTCCACTTTTTAGTCTGCGTTTGGTATCTGTCAATTGTTGAAAAAAAAGAAATACAGGCTTATCTTTATGACTGCACTAAGGTCTGATTAAAATAACAATTCGAAATTAATTTGATTTTTTGTGACTATCAAACTGAGGGATTACCAAATATAATGGAAGCAAATGTTTATTGCTGAGCTATATTTGTTGAATTTAGTTTTTTCGCCATCAATCATCATGTTCTATGGCTTTAAGCTGAAATTGTTTTGTTGTGGTAATGTTGAAATAGACCAGGGTTTTTTTGCTATTAAGTTGTAGCAAAACAGCGTTCAATGACCCTTAAATACCGCAATTTGCTGGTTTTCCTTTTGCAAATTCCACTTACTAAATTTAACAGAGAGAGTCAAAGTTGATCTGCTAATTTTACAGTGTACCGTTTTTTTCAAAAGCTGAAAAGAACATTTCGAAAGTATCATTTTTTTAAATTTTATTGTACACTTCATTAGTGATATTATATTTGAAAGAAAATTATTAAGCTGTAATGATTTGGATAAGTCATTATTTATTTTTGTACTTTGGCACGAGCTGAATCGCTAGAAACTCAAGACAACTTGATATTTGCCGACTGTCCTGTAATATTCAATCATTAACTGACACCCCAAAATTCTGTGCCATTTTTGCCGCAACACTTATAATCTGTAGCTTTGTCGAGTACAAAAACAGTATTTGTACAAACTGCTGTGACTTGACGTGCTGTTGATGATAGGTTCCTTCACATGTCGGCTGTGATAAATTAAACAGTTCTTAGTGATTGCTTTTCTATCAAACAGTTAAATTCGACAAAGTTGACGTTTACCTACAGTGGTAATTTCTTTTCAAAACAATAAGTGACATTTGTATACAAAGTGACAGAATGTCAATAACTTACAGACTAAATGAAAAAGTACCGGAAGTTTAATGTAAATAACAGATGTTAGGCCGTATAGATTCAAATTTTATCTTTATTACATAAGCTGAAAATGTTGTGTTTTGGCGTTCAATTAGATCAGGGCTTTTCTGCCATAAAACGAAACAGCATCACTGAAGTTGCTGAACAAAACTGTCTGAAATTGTCTGCATTTTTGGTGCTTTTTATGTGATGCCATAAAATCTTACTGTGCTATGTATAATAGAAATTTTATCAATTCAAAACTATGAATAATTTTTCATCAAAAAATTCTCCAATATCAACTTTGTAAATTGACCATCTACAAACTGATATGAAGTTATGGATTCAAAAAATTCAAATTTTTAGAAAAAAAAACTAAAAAAATTAGCGGCTACTCATCTTTCACAGATTTAAAAAGACATTGAGCTTTTATCACTGTTTCGTCTCCTGTACTTTACCGATGTTTAACATTCTACTGGAATATTAAGATAAAAGCCTAAAAGTAGCCGGCAACACTACTAGTGAGTGAGTATAACGGAAAAAAGAGTTGTTGTTACGGTTCTTTTCACAAGTTGTCTTGAGTAGTATCCTTGATGCAAAAACAAGTTTTTTTTATAGAGTAGATAACTTTTTATATGCCACGGTTTTTGGGCAAGTTCCAGAAAATACAGTTCACATCAGCAGATTCAGAAGCCCAAACAGAAGTGCCGTCAAACACCGTCTTTTTTGTTCAGTAGTTCTGCTGAGCAGAACGATGACAGATATGCAATGAAAGGCTTTTAAAACCAGTAGATTCAATTTCATTGTCTGGCGGAATCAGTGAATCAGTTAAAAACTGTTTTCTGTTTTTTCAATCTTAAAAATGTCCTTAGCTCTTGGGAACAAACAAGTGTTTTTTTTTTTGAGAAACGATTTATTTTTTTCCGTTTAACCCACTTGCTGTCAGTCATTGTATCAACTTCACACAGAGGAAGTAACTGTAACAGTGATCTATTTTGACCATTATCTGTCTCAGCATTAGTTTATTCAGCTCAATTAATATTCTCAAATCATTGTCATCTTTAGCCAAAAAAATTTGTACCGCATTCCTGTTATCACAGTGTTTTCAACCCTAAACAATTTCCTGATTCTTTTGTCTAAAGATGAAAAATTAAGTTTACATTTGCTGTAAACACAGTGCTATTTCAACAGCCTTTATCTTTGATCCTTTGATCTGTGTTCATTATGCAACAATCATTCGTTATGAAACTAACTAAAATTTTTTTTATCTTTTTAAGTTCATAAAGAATAAAAGATTTTTTTCCCTTGGTAATAAAATTATTTTAAGTAATGGGCAGCTGCAGAAGATAAAAGATCATATCTGAACTACGGTGGAGTGAAAACAAGAACATTACGAAAAAATATTATTATAATTACCAAGGCAGAATTGAAGTTTGAAAAAAGATTAAATTTCTTTTGTAGACATAGTAGTTTTTAGGTATCTTAAAGACCAAAAACTGCTAAGCATCTGGTGGTATAGAGGCTTCTTTTCAATCGGATAGCGAAAGAAGTCGGAATAATGAAACATTAGCAAAAATTATGAGCAAAATTCATCATTTTTACTGTACAGTACAGACAGGCAGTTAATCTCTTGGTTTTACACAGAAAATGACCATTTATTATTTGTAAATTTGGACTCTCACAGTGACTAGCAGTAGTCGAATATCCTTTTACTTTCTCCTAGACAGAAGTTTGTTCTGCGAATAGCAAACTGTCAAATTAGGTGCGCTAGCAGAACTGAATATACATGTGGTTCAGGTTGAAAGAGGAAAAAACAGGCGGATTAGCAGTACTTAAAAAACAGTAGTAATAATGTAACAATTTACTGATAAACATTTTCCACTTGTCTCATTGTAGAGTGAGATATCCGAATCAGCAAAGAAAAATAAGCCTGTATAATAGTCTTTCTTCTAATCTAAACCTACGTTACTGTTGAATTACGAGTTTTTTGGTAATATGAAAATTGCTTTCACAAGAACAGTCTTGAATTTGTCCTTAATTTTCTTCTTTTTT